TACATATAAAATGCAACGGGTTTCAGGACATGGTGATATCCCTAGTAACTGTAAAGCAATGAACTAGTCAGAGCAGCAGACTAGGAACACCACATATGACTATTGTAGAAGGTAGAAAAAGAGTAGACTATAAAACATCTTCTATGCGAATGCAAGGTTTTGTATAGCAAAAGTATCGCAACTATAGGTCTAGAAGATTTGGACGACGTTTCGGAGGTTGCGCAGATAAAACTTTTTGTACTGTTGAACTTCATCAGAAACGCCGAGTGGTTCAGAGAGGAGACAATAGAGTGAGGGGATTTTAGTCTCGGTGCTATCACAATGAGCCTCCTAATGGCCTAGGTGCATCGTCAGACAGCCGCGCTACCTATCTATCTACCTAACTCATTTTATTACTGGGTTAATATAAACAATTATTACCAACCAACTATTTGAAATAGGATATATGCATTTGTAGAGACATACATAAGTTTGAACGTTAAGGTGTACATACTGTTTTTGTTATTAATGCAATGTTTTTAATAAATAATTCTTTATAGACGGGTATTGGAATATTTTTGGTAGAAATTAAATGTTATAAAAAAACTGTTATTAACTATTAATATTTGAAATATAATGACAATGAAAAAAATTAATTAATTACAATATAAATATTAAAAATAGGAATAAAATTTATAGTTTCTAAATTTGAAGCATACAGAAATGAGTATTGCTATGGTTGGTTTAAAAGGGAGGCGCTTGAGCGGCCATTATTCAGGCAATATCTCGCTTTTACTTTCTTCTATTGAATTTAACTCGAATCGAAGACGCCTAAGTACACAACAAAATGCAACAATATTGAGACGCCGAGCGCTTGATAGCTTATTCCCACACATATACAATTTTTTTTTAAATTTTCCATATGTCTCACCCTAATGCGCATATAATTTTATAATAAACTTATTTCCAAGCAAATTTAAATGCTTAGCAATCGTTTGCCAAATGTTTTGCAACTTGCAACTATGCAGATGCAAATGCTTAAACAACAGTTTGTAGCATATCTGACAGCGGTAATTTGTGCATACACAAATATGTATTGGCAAAAACAAAGAACTAAACGACGGAGTAATAAGTAAATGCCATTTTTGTGTTGGAGACCTCGAAGCGCTAGATAAAGAATCAATAAGAGCGATTTTTATGCCTCAAGGCAGTATTTTGTAGACAGGGTGTTATTGATTTGTGCATAGTATAGTTGTTACAACCGTTTATATGATCAAAGTGAGAATATTTATAAAAGTAAATTATTTTATTATGTCCATGCTAAAAGATTTTTGATATGTACCATATAATTTTAAAACCACACGCATAAAAATAAAATATATAAACAGAGTTCGGAGTTTCTCTATTGCTCAGCTAGTCTAGACAATATACCTATGTATGAAAACGAAAAATTATGTTTTACATCAGCAAGTCAATATTTTCCTGATTGTTTTTGCAATTGCTGTTAGTTTCCTCACAAAACTTTTCCTCTACAATGGAAGCTGATATGTATGAACAGTATTAATTTTCTCAAGCCGGTACTTCGAACTCCAATCGTTAAGTATACAAACATAATTGTCTACAAATTTTGCAAAATTATGATGCTTTATATGTACATAAATGTGTATTTGTGGACATAGTGTAAACATTTCATAATCAAAACTTGTAAATTAGTTTTCTGGAAATTTTATTTTAACACAAACTGCAAGAAAAGAAGAAGCTATTAAGTATTTTGAAGCTTTTTGGTAATTTAAAAAGACGCTTACTTACTTACGTAAATATTCGTACATATTTAATTGCTTACCATATGAGTTTTGCCTTATACACTAGCCGACAATGAAAAAAATTGTCTTTGAATTTTGGCACCACGGTGGTAAAGCTATAAAATTTCCGCGAATTTTCATTAATGCAAGCCAGAATATCGCATAATAAAGCCTGGGAGAACGCTGGTGACCCACAAGACAATTTATTAGGTAGTAAATAAATTGAGTAAAGGAATTTTAACTTTCATACAATATCCATACATGTATTTATTTCGAATATATTGTAGATATAATGTATTTTTGTACATATAAAGGGTCTACCAACAAGAACGTCATGATGTTAAAATGAAATTAAGCACCCAAATTTGGTCAAAGTAGGTTCTGTTTTTTTGTTTTTTTGTGATGCAGATAATTTTATGTCATGCCACCACGGCTTCGTTTGCATATCTTCATCTGTTACGCCATTTTTCGATGACCGGGTGCAACATTTGTCTTCGAACTCCTCGAGTGTTGCTGGTTGATTGTCGTAAACCTTTGATTTAATATAGCCCCAGAGAAAATAATCTACAGGCGTTAAATCGCATGATCTTGACGGCCATTTGATTGTGCCATTTCTCGAAATTAACGAGTCGCCGAACTATACACGCAATGTGTCCATGTTTAGACGTGAAACATGAGGCGGCGCAACGTCCACTTGCTGTTGACGGTAACGGCATTTCCTGTCTCATTTTGAAAGAAATACTGACCCCAATAGCGGTAATTTTGTTTGTTGACGAAGCCACTAAGATTTATCTGAGAAGATGATTTTTTGGAGAACTTGGACAATGCGCTGTACCAAAGTGAAGCGTGACACAATGAAATGGCAATCCTTACTTAACACACTGACAAAATTTAACACAAATTCGCCACGACCTGTCAAAATCACGTCATCCCTATTGGTAGACGCTGTGCATCGATCTATATATGCTTTGTAAAGTCATAACCGTAGAAAATAGCTATAATGTATGTGTGGTAATATAAGAAGTAATGCATATGTTGTTTCCCACATTGCAACATATTGAAATAACCGTTATATTGAAAAATTGTACAAGGTAATTATGTAATCATAATGATGTTGCTTTTTCCAGGAAAATAACAAAGGAATTAAAGATAAGTAAAAAAAATTCGTTTGCTTTGCTTTCATAGCCTTCGAGATAGATATATAAGCCTAAAAATTTATTTGTTCAAGCATCGATTCCATTGCTTGTTGTGTTAGAGATCTACTCTCTTATTTAAACGTTTATATGGGAAAACAACAATAAAGGTTTCGGGAGTAGTACAACACAAAAGAGTGTGGAATATCTTCTGAAAGTGGTATAACTGCATGCTATTCGTTTTCTTTATGTCAGTCTAATGCATTTACACCAGTTGTTTGTTCGATTCAGCACTCCCCAAGGTCAGTCAATTCGACATCAACTAATATTTAAGTTCATCAGAGCGTTCAAAATTATTTTTACCCCCATATATCCAATAATAATTTTAATTTATATATAACAATAGCATTATTGCTTGAAAAACACTGTGTTGCCCCACTTTTTTTTATTAAACAATTACAAAATTGCTAATGCAACACTGTTGCAAATCAAATTCACACCTGATTAAAAAGTAATTATTTATTTTGTTTTGAATAAAGTCACACCTTAAGATGATTAATACTCCTTTTTTGTGTTATTCAGCATTTAAATTAGTTGCTTCTGTTCCACAGCTGTATTTTGCCTGGTAAAATCGCTTGTTATGTAATTTAATGTAGATTATAAATATGTCCAAGGAAAAATGTGCCATCAATTTAACAACCTTATGGCATTATAAATTAGTTTTTAATAAGCAAGTATAATTAGTTTTGTGATACAATATGCTCGGTTATGACTTTTATGAGTTTTGAGCATAATTGATCGTTTGTTTTGGTTTCAATGATATTTTTTTGTGAAACCATTAAAACATGCTTCGATTTTTTTAATATTAGTGAAGGAAGAAATAAGCAACCGCTTTTTATTTTTTTTGGGCAACCCTAATGCTTGGCAAAACTTTTAAAAATATTGTGAAGCTAAAACTTCTTCAAAAGGCACCATATAATGTAGTTAAATAAAATTGAAATTAATTTTTTTTAAGGTGGGAACCCTGATGCAAAGTTTTTTCTTTAGAATTAAAATCCTTTCAAATCTCTACTGACCCAGAATTACAGCAATTTATTGAATATTACAATAGTTTAATTGAACTTCTATATAAAATGGCAACTCTTTTCATGATCTAACCTAAATACACATAAACCATTTCCAATTCTCTAATCGGCCCTAGGCTACATTGTCTTTAGAAATTGAAAGAATTGCCTTCATATAAGTATATGCCTTTGCCTTCTCTTTTATATAATAGTTAGTTCTAATTATTAAAATAATATTTTTTCTTTATATAATAATAATTTTTTCCTTTTCTGTCCAGAATTGTAAGCCAACAACACACACTTGCTGCATATACCGCCCACCGCCGCCACCAACAACAACCGAACGTCCATACGACGTTTGCGCAAAGGATTACGACTGTGTGCCCACACGTTACTGCAATAACGGTGAAATCGATTCGGCGGATTATATTCAAAAGGGCAAGGTGAGTTCTTGAGTGATAATTTTGGAATATTTATGAATTTATCTTAAGAACGTTATCTAATGTTTATTTGGATGGAAAAGAGAAGAGAGAGATTTTAAAGAGATCAAGTAGAAAATACTATTTTTAAAATAGTAAAAATACAAGTATAAGAATTAAAGTGAAAAATTTCGGGATCAAAACCTACAAGCTTAGTTCTGACATATTTCAGAACCAGGTTTCCAAGAAAAATTTATGCAAAGCTCTGTCAAGCTCAAGTTTATGTTAAAAGCGTAGAATTTACAGTTTTTTATTTCTATTTTTTTAATATTACTTAAAGTAAACAAAGTATATGTATACATACATATATACATATATAAATATTAATCAGTTTCAAAGCCAAACCACTTCAAAATAAAATATTCACTATATTATTACCAAGTTTTGCATATGCAAATCGACCTTTTGAATCGGCAACTCGCGAAAATAATTTTGTTTTGCTTTTGACACAAAAAAATACAGTAAATAAGTGCCATTACATGTATGTAGGTATATACATAAGTATATGTGAAATAATGTATAAATAAGCACATAAATATGCCCTTACACACATATGTATATATGTAGCAACTGCTGTAAGACCTACCTCTTTGCTTTAGTAACCCAATAGCACAAATATAGTGGACGCATTGTGCTCTTCACACATACATATGTACAACTATATGGACTAAGTAGCAAATAAGTCAGCGCATGCGCAACTGCGCTTAAAAGCGTCTTCTCGCATTACTTTACTGATGCTCGTATATTTGGTTGCATAATTTCGCCAGCCCTTTGCTACGGAGAGTTTTTGCCCTTTTCCGGTTATACAGATTGCATGCGCTGTTGTTATTGCTGTTGCTTTAACATGCTGTGCTAAGTGCATTCGTACCTTAATGACCAATACGCCAAGTTAAATCTGCAAAATATATATGTATATATGTATTTATATGTAGTTGACAGCATACATATATACTTGAATGCATACACATGTATATATATATATGTATGTACATGTAAGTGTAATTGCAGCAACTGTGCTGCTTGCAACAATTGCTTGGCGATATTTTGGCTGCGCGCTTTCTTAGTTATGCAGTCATTGACGCCATGATATATTAAATGAGGTTGATGAATACTTTGATACCTTCATCACTGGCCAGCAGTTGTTAAAATGTTTACTTTTGTGTTGTTGTTGGCTTTTAGGATGCACGTATATGTTTATATGTGTGTGGAGCGCAAGTAATGTTTTCATTTTCTCCAGTTGAGAGTATGTTACGCAGGAATAATAAGAAGAAGAAGAGAGAGTGAGTAAATTTAAAAACAACAAAATAAAGGAAATAACAAAAATCACTACAAAATTATAACGCCAGGATGCTTGCGGAGGCTATTAAGGCGATCAAGTTTTGTTGGAAATCATCCAGACCGAACTGTGAAAAGTGTGAAGCGGGTTAAATTCCAAATTACTGAAGAATTTCGACAATGTATAGCCGTTCGACAAGCCACCAGTCGGCATGTCGTGCACTGCTTCAGACAACAAGCAGCGCGTTTTCAACCTATAAACACACCTAGGAGCATGTACACATACACACACACACATACCTCTACATTTGTGGAAAGCATTATGCAGGTTAATGAAATATGCGAAAAATGCGAGGCAAGGTCGTTGAAAGCAACCGTCCAGTGCCAGGCTGAAAGCATTACCGACAACTTTGACAGCCCACACTCGTGCTTACGCACTTGTACGCATGCGCGCATGCGTGTGTAGGTAGAGTTTGTTGCATAGGTGGTCAGCTGTGTACCGCGCAAATATTTATCCATGTCCGCTCGCACATGCCAATGCCGCAATAACATTATTTGCATTTTTGGTGCATTTTATGTGCAGATGACGAACTTATTTGTGCAACGCAGCGTGTTATTTTTTTACACACAAATATAATTAATGGCGAGTTTCATCTTGTTTGTGATAAAAATTTTAAGATTCTTTAGTGCAGCATCGCTTTTGTTCTCGCAACAGCAATGCTTATGCCAAGTTCAAATATCTCAATTCAACATTTCAACCACAAAATTTAGGGCTTAGGTATGTGTTTTGTATGTGTGTAGTCTTTTTTTATTCACACACAACTTCTCAGTCGCTACCGGCATTGCTTTGAATAGTTAAGTTATTAATATTTTATCAGTTAAAATCGAGAGAACTACAACGACATTCATTGAACTTCTGGAACATATTAAATTTAAAGCTAATTGTGCTAAAAACTTCGGAAACTCTTTAAGAAAAAGTCTAACTTTGGCTAATCTAAAATGTAGTAAATTTCTGACTAAGAATTTACATCGCCACTCCGACAGAGAGAGAGGGATAGTGGACTATACTAAGCTTAATGGTCGAATTGTCCTCAGTAAAAAAAGCATTTGCAACTTTACTTTCCTTCAGGGAATATAAAGAAGTTATACTCTTTTTTTACTCTTGAAAGCTAATGTGTCACTAGTCGACACAATCGAATTCGTGATAATTTGTTCAGTTTCCTTGCTGATGACATATCAGTATTTTTTGATATACTTTCGATAATATCGATAGCGTGACTGAATTTTTCAGCAGCGGTAAAATCGAAAAATTTTATTTTACAAAATATAAACATATTTATTATTTGCTTTGCTTGAATTTGTAATGTTTTTATTTTGATAGTATCGAAGGTCAAATAGTATTGATAATGTTAATGTACCATCGAAACTATCGGTTAATGTACCATCGAAACTATCGATATAGGAATCACCGTATTATACATCGCTCAATCAAATTAAGACCAGTATTTATTTTAGACTAAATTTCTATTACTTTGATGTATGAGATAAGAATTGTCTTTTATGAAGAACCATCCCTTCACATTTTTTGGTTCGCAATAAGCTCATCTTCCTAATTTCCGTACTCAGATTATAAAATTAATCATCCAGCGGAAGTTGATTAACTTTTCTTCATCATCCTATGTATTTTCCAAAGTTAAATAGAAAAGAAAAGCCTTTCAAAAGACTCTCCCCTGCTCTTCTAAGCCCTGCTTAGCCTGAAGCAGCTGGCAACAAGTAACATATTCGACTCATTATTCATTCAAATTCAGTTTCCTCACAATAATCTCCATTAATGGCGGTAGCGTATATTTTATACATAATTCCGGCTTTAACATAAAGGAATTTTATTCTAATAAAGTATAACTTGTTTTATATTGTTCTTGTTTTTAGTTGCCATATTATTGGTTGAGATAATTTGTTATGTTAGTTTTGAATTAAACTAGTTTTACGATCGCATAGACTACCAATATGGAAACTTTATATTTGCATATATACAATTAGACTTTCTACATATGTCTTATATATATATATGTGTTATATATATGGAAATTGATTTATTATTGCTAGGAAGATAAGAACTAGTTATAAATTGACCAATTTGATTCCCAATCAAACATTATAGAATGTCTTTATATTTACCTTTTATTAAAGATATAGATTTCGACCAGTTTTCTAGAAATCTTAATTTTTCTCTTTCTTCGGTCAATTAGTATGTCTAGGTATTAAGCAAAATTACTTATCATTAATTTTTTTTTGCCAAAGAAAATTAGTCTTAACTTTAATTTAGACGACGTTATGAACCGATAAATACTTACTCTCTTTTTTTCTATTTATAAATTTTACGTCTGTACTTACTTTCGTTTTTTATAAGCTGATGGGTGAAAATTAGTAGATTTGTTTTATGAAAATGAGTATGGTAATGAGCCTAGCTCGCTAAGTTTTGTCGGCTGTCACTGTAAGAACTGTGAGACAACATCTCTCAATTTTGCAATTTGTCTTGAAACGGCAATGCCAGTCAGAGAAAATGATAATTAAATTTTAAATTTATCATTATGAATATTATGTATATATTATATAATTATAATACATATACAGAGCATATTAGGTTAGGATAGGTTATACTGGCCGACTGTCACTTCAAACATAGAACTACTGATCCTCAGTAATCCCAAATGGAGGCCCAGTTTAATTTAAGCTGAAGTATTCGTCAAAGTTTTTGGCGAGCTTTAAGAGCGACTTTATATAATTTTGACACTTTATATAGTCGAGCTCTAGATTATGCTGGACAGAGACATAGGAGGTGTTCCAGCCTCTCTCTCCTGGCTACTTCTCTGCACTTTCAGCATGTGTCGTATATTACGTTTGCCACGAAGTTTGTAGCACCCATGTCCGTCTGCATGTATGTTAACTAGTCCCCGAGTAGATATCAATATGAAATTTTGGACGCGTCTGCTCATTCGTCAGAACCGCTGATATCGGTCCTTTATGTCATATATACATATGTATATCAATATCCAGTTCCTATATAGCAAATTTTTTTATTTGACAAGATATTTAACGAAATTTGACATTGATCATTGTCCAAGGTAACGCTACAATTTCCGATTCAGATGATGTTCAGATCAGACCACTATAATAATATAGCTACCATACAAACTGACCCTAAACTCAAGATAGAGATATTTTCAAAACCTTTTATGTTATACAAATGCACCTGTAAAAGACTATAGAATTTATCAAAATAACCTCACTTTTTTATAATTATATATATATTTCCAACTTTAGTTAATCTGTTTTTTAATTGTATAATCGGTTTTAGGGGACGATAACTCTGATATGGATACTAAATATTCTGGTGACGACAATACTGACAGACAATAGAATAAATTATCGACACAATTGTTTTAAAGCATTTTAATTGCATTTGTATATAGTAGATAAATATTCCTTAAGAAAAAGACAAAAAGCATAAGCTTTGTTCTGTCAGATCACACCTCTCAACACTGAATTGCTCGAGTTTAACAAAAGAAAATTATTCTTTAGAAATCGAAGACCACTCAACTGGCACGAAATAGTTTTCCAGTTTCAACTTTTATTTCCGCATCAGCAAAGTTACTTAAGTTGTATTTTTTATAACCAACAACAAATGA